AGATCTCGCATACCCTCTCAGCATCCTGGCTCGCTTTGTGGCTACAGGCAGACACCGACCTCAGCACTGGTCTGCCGCTAAGAGGGTTTTGCGTTATCTTGCTAGTACATCAGGCATGGGGTTAGTGCTAGGAGGACGCAGGCCAGTGGTCCTTACTGGGCACACAGACGCTTCATGGGCAGACGACGCTGAGACGCTCAGGTCGTCGCAGGGCTACTGTTTCAGCCTTGGTTCGGGTGCTATCTCTTGGAGATCCACTCGCTCGTCGTCTGTGGCTCAGTCTAGCTGTGAGGCTGAGATCTACGCTGGTGCCATGGCGGCACAGGAGCTCCGCTGGCTGACCTTCTTGCTCACAGACTTAGGTGAGCGGCCTAGCTCTGCCCCGGTCCTGTACGCTGACAACAGGGCCATGATACTCCTGTGTCAGGAGCCTCGGCTTGAGGGCAGAGCGAAGCATATCCAGCTGCGGTACTTCCTCCTGCGCGAGCTACAGCAGCGCCGCCAGGCCCGCGTAGTTCACTTGGCCTCAGGTGCCAACACAGCTGATATCTTTACTAAGGCGCTTGCGCCTAAAGATCATCAGCGGCACTGTGTACAGCTTGGTCTTGTTCCTGTAGCTGCTCCCCTGTTAGGATCCTGATTGTGTACTCTCTATTATATATGCTTGTCAGACTGGCCTTGTGGCCTTACCTCCAGTGGCTGGACTAGTAGTGCCACCCTGGCTTGCTTCAGTTTTGGTTGTATTCTTGTTGACTGGTCTCCAGACCCCTGCCTCAGTGGTTGGACTAGTAGTGCCGCCCTGAGCTGTTTGCTTCTTGTTTAGTTTCACCCCTTGTCTAGCCTAGGGGGTGTGTCAACTTATACATATTATCTATGTAGAAGTTATAGGCTAGACTGAGGTATGCTTCTAGTGAGTACAACCAACTAGTATTTGTTCTAGGTTTCCACCTCTAGTAATCATTCGTTTCTACGTTAACAAACCCAAGTCGACGACGACTTGTGTGCAGTCACTTGTGTCCATCAATTGCTGGAGCGGGAGCGGGATGTCAACGTCAACCCAGTGGGCGTTCTGTACTCCTTACTCACGAAGGCAATAGTGTCACGTTGAATGTAGTCAGTCATTTCGAGAGAGTGACAGCAGGACAGCAGGACATGCGAAACGTCTCCTACTACGGAGCAGCATCCATGGGGGAAAAAATGCGCAGCGGCAACAGAAGCAGGGAAGATATATTGCTAGTCAGGGTTTATTGGATCTAACTTTGTTGGCTCCAAGCGCATGCAGGTGCTCATCATCTATCTTGCCCTTATCTATACATTGTCCCAGTATACCTGCCCCTGCAAATATCGATTGTAGCAAGTGGCAGTTGATACTTGGAGCTATTGATGATGACATAATCTGAGTGACGATGATACACTACTGCATCGTTGGTCACAAGAACCAGGAAAACGATGACAGTGGACGTTCCATAAAAACCTGTTGCCTTTTGCAAGGGCATGCTAAGAGATTTGGCAAACCAATCCCCAAGAGGAGCACCCCGGCGACAATTTGCGTCCATTCCAGTTGTCATAATTGATGTAATGTTCTTGGACGGAGTTCCATGAAAAACCAGCTCAGCTTCTCCGTCCGTTCCTGGAAGAAACTTCTGGAAAATTTTACCTGAACACGGGAAATCCAGTCCACAGTTACTATGTGACTGAAACACATAAAAATGCAGAAAGCTGGAGCACGTACACCACATATAGCAACATTGACCCCATCATCAAGCAACGTTTGGCATGGATTGTAGTACTTACCAAGGATATGCTCAGCATCCCGTAGAGAGAGGCTTGCAAGGGTGTTCGCAAACTGGTCAACAAGGGAAGTATCTCTGGTGAAGCTATGCCTCGGCTTGATGGAGACAAGGTCGTAATCAGGCTCCATCATTCCCTCGATTGCTTCCCTCAGGTAAGACTCTGAGAGGACCTCGATCAGGATTTTCACCCACAGCTGCTCACATCATTCACCACCACATGAAATCAAGTCTTTCAGGAGGACAAACTGCTAGAAAAAAAAAAACTACTTACCATAACCCCTGCAGGAGTGGCGAGATGCTTAACGTTTTCAAGGCCAAAATGTGGAACCATGTGAATGCGCAATCGTCGTCCGCCTGGCGTCACCTCCTCCATGGTCCTCAGAACAACCGTGGAGGGACCAATAGCCACGGTCTGCTCACCATTAGCAGCAGCCCTGAGAATAAGTTGGCAAGCATCGGAGCCAAACGGCTCGAATTCGCCATTCATGGAGCGATAGATTCCAGGGAGCATTGTGTCGCGGATTTTTCTCACAACAGACAACCAGAACGGTCAAATTCTCGCCGAAAGGAGAACATAAATCCCACATACCAGAAAGAAGGCTGGACGCGATATCGCCTTGACGCCATCACGATAAAAAAAAGCATGAAGTCCGCCCTAGGTAGGAATCGCCGCGAGACAGCAGCAAGAAAACAAAATTCCGAGGTCATTGCTCTGACCGATGTTGGAGGGGATGAAGCTCGTAATTCACAAAACCAGGGCGTGTTCGGTAGTGCGGCTGGTGAAATTCGGATGCGGCTCAACATTTAAAGCGCGTGCCCCAAATAAGACCAGGATTTCTAGTCTTAGAATCTTGGTCAGGCAGGCGAGCTTCGCCGAGTGTGTAGCGAAACAAAAAAACAGCTAGGGGTAGTGGCGAAAGGGACAGGCCTCGCAAGTGGGAGCGGGGCGACGCTAGGCGATGGGAGAAACAGGGAGGTTGGAAGAGAAAGGAGGGCGCGTTCAAATTTCGAACCAGACGCACATAGAAATGAGACTTCGTTCATTTGGCCAACAACGAAAGGCCAAACACAGCTCCAAGGCGCGAGCCATAATAAACGAAGAGACCTGGGAACACTCCCGAGCCCTCCCCGAGCCAACCTCAGTAACCAGAAACAGTTTATTTCATCAATGACATACGCCTGAAGGGCACTAAAGAATTACAAACAAGTAAATTATGTCAAATAAGGCGTCTATTTACTAACACAAGGACACTATGCAGCAAGTTGGGGGAACACAAAAAAAATCTGCAATATGGCGGAACGAGTCCAAGGGCATTGGGCACTTGTATGCTAGGGTAGCCGAACAGGACTCAAGTCATGTGACAGCCCCCCGGGCCACCTAGCCCGCCTCGTAACCAACGGAACGCAAACAGGGAAAAATTGGAGGGAGGGGGGAGGGGGGAGGGAGGGGGGCAAAAGCAGGGGAGACAATGGGAGCAAGGGGGAGAAATGAAAACGGGGGGAAGGGAGAGGAAGTGAGCGGAAAGAGGAGGGGAGGAGAGGGGGAAGAGGAGAGGAGGAGAGGGGGATAGGGAGATGATAGTGGGAAAGGGAGAGGAGGAGAGAGGGAAGCAGAAAGGAGGAGAGGAGGAAAGGGAGAGGAAGTGAGGGGAAAAGGGATAGGAGGCGAGAGGGAAGAGGAGAGGAGGAGAGGGGGAAGAGGAGAGGAAGTGAGGGGGAAAGGGAGTGGAGGAGAGGGCGAAGAGGAGAGGACAAGAGAGGGAGAGGAAGAGGAGGAGAGGGGGAAAGGGAGAGAAAGTGAGGGGGAAAGGGAGAGGAGGCGAGAGGGAAGAGGAGAGGAGGAGAGGGGGAAGAGGAGAGGAAGTGAGGGGGAAAGGGAGAGGAGGAGAGGGGGAAGAGGAGAGGACAAGAGAGGGAGAGGAAGAGGAGGAGAGGGGAAAAGGGAGAGGAAGTGAGGGGGAAAGGGAGAGGAGGCGAGAGGGAAGAGGAGAGGAGGAGAGGGGGAAGAGGAGAGGAAGTGAGGGGGAAGGGGAGAGGAGGAGAGGGGGAAAGGGAGAGGAGGACAGGGGGAAAGGGAGAGGAGGACAGGGGGAAAGGGGAAATGGAGAGCTGTATCCCTGCACCTCTCCCTTTCTTCCCCCTCCCGTTCCCCTTGCCTCCCTCCACGCCTATCCCTTTTTTTCCCCGCGTCCCACACACCCAACTCCAAAGAGAGCCACGGTGGGAGCAGAGGTTGCGAATGCAAGCAAGGGACCATCGACGCGGAAGCTGCCTGGGGTTTCCCGCCTAGCTGAGGGGACAGAGAGGGGGCGCTGAGAGGAACGAGAGGGGAACGGCTATCCCCGCCTATCTCTCTTCCATTCGCCGCCGCCGGGGCAGGGAACGAAAGCAGGGGGAGATGTGGGAAAACAGAGCGGAGGGCTGAGGAAAGGGAGACGAGGAGAACGGGGATCGAACCAGGGAATGGTAGAACAGAGCGGAGGGCGCGACGGGGGACGCGACGGGGGACGCGACGGGGGACGCGACGGGGGACGCGACGGAGGACGCGACGCGGGAATGGTAGAACGGCGGCGAGGGGCCGGGAGATGGACGACGCGGGGAAGGGATAATGGCGGCGAGGGGAAGGGATAGTGGCGGCGAGGGCAAGGGAGAAGGGCGGCGAGGGGAAGGGAGATGGACGGCGACGGGGAAGGGAGATGGACGGCGAAGCGCCGGAGATGCCAGGTATAGTAGCATCGTCGCGCCTAGCGTGCAAGAAGCAGCTCTAATGCTTGTACCAGAGCCGAGCGTGGCTCACATTTGGGCCTAGGGAATGGACTTGGTCTTTCGCCACGACATGAGCTGAACCTTCGAGGCGGAACTTGGCTGAGTGACGGGGGAAAGGGCGACGGATAGCGCACTGCATCTGTTTGCTGGCGGGCGTCTGTTCCGTTACCGCCCTTGTTCAGTCCCCTCGTCCCGTCGTTTTTTGACAGTGCCACTGGCTGTGAGTCCCATTTCCTAGCTTGAGATACACGCGCGTGTACGTTCGTGGCGCTGGGGCTAATTCAAGAAGCAGCACTTACGTGTGCACGCGGGAGATTGCTGCTGCGTTGACACAAATTGGGTTTCCAAGGTTGATCTTTATCTGCGCGTTGACTTGTGAACGCAGGTTGGGTTCCACAATCGACCAAAAATCAAACACTTGGTCTCTTGGGACGCGCGCTTTAAGGGCATTCTCAGTACAAAATTACTGGTACAATCACTGGACTGGTATCTAGTGTACACACAAGCACACTTTGATCACGCTTAAGCTAGCTACAAATGTGCTCCCTAAGCTAAAACATGCTACTACACAAACAGATTAGAACATTCATGCACACATAATTAAAACATACGAACTGTCTCAATACACATTTCCAATTTTTTTCTTCTCCCGGTCAGTAGCCGTAGTCAAGCGAAGTGGATGGCCTGGCTTCGTTCTCATCCCAGTCCATTTCTTCCTCTGCTGTCGACGGCCGACCCTCCTCTGCCTCTCCCGAAATTGCCTTTACAGGCACTTCTAGCTGCGGGGGCTTCTGCTCACACGAGAGGAAGAGCACAGTGACACAAGCAGGAGTGGACTGTGCATATTGGTCGTGGCAACGGAGAAGGCATGCTAGCGAATCACGAGTCCAATATCCCAGCTCTCACACTCTGCAACCAGAGCCGGATCACACAACACAAGCAGACAGCAGCCAATTGCCTTGCAGCAAATGTCTCACATTCGCGAATTGCGACAGCAGCGAATGTACTTCAGGGGCGGGGCTCACATTCGCGGATTCGCAATTCGCAATTTGCGAATGTGAGGGGCGCTACCCAATCGCGAAATGCGCTTCAACTGACCATGTCGCGGCTCAGAAGCCATTTGATGGACTTGAAGGGGTGCGCACTGGGATCTCAATGGCTCTGTGCGAGAGCGTGAGTTTGTGAGTAAGGAGTGGCAGCAACTGACCATGTCGCGAATCAGCGGCCACTCGATGGACTTGAAGAAGGGGTGCGCTCGGATGTCAATGGCGCCGTGCTTCGCGCCCAGGCGGGCCGCGGGGTCCCTCTGGAGCAGCTGGCGCATCAAGTCCTTGGCCTCGTCCGACACCTGTTGTTGGGGGAAATGGGTGTGGGTTGGGGAGACGAGAAAAGCGGGAACATTGGAGAGCGTGCACCGGCGATTGATTGACAGGTAAATCGATCATTCTCACAGGCTAAACTCACCAGTGGATTGGCAGAGAAGGCAACGTCCTTAGTGAGCACCGTTGGTGCGTGCGCTGACAATTCAACACTACATGGGTAGGTACTTGCGTTGAACTCACCGGCGGATTGGCAGGGAACGCGAGGTCCTTAGTGAGCACGTTGGTGAAGGTGCGCTGACGGTTGCGGCCGCGGAAGGGGCTGCGACCGTACAGCAGCTCGTACAGGAAGATCCCTGGAAGGAGGAGAGGGAGGAGATCCAAGAAACATGTAAATGCAACCGTACATGCCCACAAAGGCAGAATCTGAAACAGAGATCCGAAAGCAGCAGTGTGGGGTACTAACTGAAGGTCCTAAGGTCCACTGATGGGGTCCTCACCAAAGGTCCACTGATCGACTGGGCTACTGTGGGCTTGCCCACATAGCTGTTGCTGTTGGTGGCCTCTGGCTCCCCATCCCTTGCCATGATTTACACCAAGGATTTACCAGTCTCGTCCAAGCACAAGGGACACTCACCGGACGTCCACCAGTCGACGGGGCTGCTGTGGCCCGTGCTGCTGATGATCTACGGCGCAATGTACTCCTCCGTGCCCACAAAGCTGTTGCTCGCAGCCTCTGCCTCCCCAAGGTGTGGGGCCCTTGCCATGCTATAAAACACACGGTTTCAAGGGTAGCAAGGCACACTCACCGAACGTCCACCAGTCGACGGGGCTGCTGTGGCCCGTGCCGCTGATAATCTCCGGAGCAATGTACTCCTCTGTGCCCACAAAGCTGTTGCTCGTGGCCTCTGGCTCCGCCACCAGAATGGGCAGAATCTCCAATTCGAGCTCCGAGGGCGTGGGGCCCTTGGACGCCCCGCCGCACCCCACTGAGGCCGCCTTCTTCTTGCGCTTCTCAAAGTCAGCCGGCAGGGGGGGGAACTCGAGCTGATACACAGGAAGGGCAGGAGGGACGGGGGGGGGGGGGGGGGGGGGGGGGGGGGAGAGCGGGAGGGAACAGAGGGAGCAGTTAGAGCTGTTGCTGGAGGCCTCTGGCTTCGCCACCAGAATGGGCAGAATCTCCAGCTCCAGCTCCGAGGGGGTGGGGCCCTTGGACGCCCCGCCACACCCCACTGAGGCCGCTGCCTTCTTGAAGTCTGCTAGGATGTTTGGCCGCCTCCGCATATTTCTTGAGCTTGTCGAAATCGGCAAGGACACGGGGGATTGCAGCTGAACGTACGAATAGAATGAACGAGACAGAGAAACAAGCACGGAAGCAATGTCAACACAGTCAGGAGGAGGAGCGCATACCTTGGGTTTGCACTCCGTGCTAAAAGAGAGGTCGAAGTCAGTGAGCATGGCGTGGCCTGACTCCTGCACCAGCACGTTCTCAGGCTTCAGGTCACGGTACACCACGCCTGGAAGGGGTTGGGCGGAAGGGTTACAGAGGACAGGGTACAAAGAGTGAGCCCAAGACTCCAGGCCAGATCAGGTCTAAAATAGATGAGCATGACATGGCCTGACTCCTGCACCAGCACGTTCTCAGGCTTCAGGTCATGGTACACCACGCCTGTAGTAAGTCAAGAAGCGAGAGGAACAGGGTGTAGGGCCATAGTAGTGGGTCTTGGGTTTGTATCAGGTTGAGGGTAAGGGATACAGAGTACAATGTTATGTTGTAGAGTTAAAACTTAGGGTTGATTCAGTGAGCATGGCGTGCCCTGCAGAAGCACCAAACATGCTCTCCTCCAGCTTAAAGCCACTGTGCACCACCTTGGCAGTGCAGGTACTCCAGCGCCAGCAGCACCTCGGCCACAAAGAAGTGCGCAGCAGCCTGGAAGCACTCTTACCCCATCATACTGCATGGCATCACAGCACAACACACAAGCGCCCACCTTGGCAGTGCAGGTAACTCCAATCCAGCACCAGCAGCACCTTGGCCACAACGAAGCGTGCAGCAGCCTCGGGCAGGTGCGTACCACACGCCACACACACACCACGTGCACACAGAGAATTCCGCCGTTTCACTCGTCACACAGCATACCGCGAACCCATTACCAACCCACCTTGGCAGTGCAGGTACTCCAGCGCCAGCAGCACCTCGGCCACAAAGAAGCGCGCAGCAGCCTCCGGCAGCCGCTTGCCCTTCTGCTTTTCCAGGATGCCGTACAGCTCGCCGCCCGCACAGAACTCAGTGATCAGACACACATGAGTGGCGGTCTGGGGGGAGGGAGGATCAAAGGAGAGGAAGAGGATGGGGAAATGAGGTCGGTATAGACAGTCCCTTGCCCGCCCGCTTCTCCAGGATGCCGTACAGCTCGCCCCCGGCACAGAACTCAGTGATCAGACACACGTGCGTAACGGTCTGCGGGGAGGGAGGATAGGCGGGGAGGATGAAGAAATGAGGCTGGCCTCGGCAGGAGCTTGCCCGTTTGCTTCTCCAGAATGCCGTACAGTACAGCTCGCCCCCAGCACAGAACTCAGTGATCAGACTCACGTGCATGGCGGTCTGGGGGTTAACAGGAGGGGAGGGGCATGGGGAGGACAGCATCAGAACCCCCCGTGTGCTTCTCCAGAAGGCCGTACAGCTCGGCGCCGCAAAACCCCGTTATCAGGACTCATGGGGGGAACTCATGGGGGTGTTGGGGAAGAGAACGCGATTGCATGCGCATTTGAGGCGCCTCAAAAGCAGTTCTCAGGTCCACGTGCGTTGCGGTCTGGGGGGAGAACTCATGGGGATGTTGGGGAAGAGTTTGAAACGATTGCAGGCCGTACCTGGAATGAGGCTGTACCTGGAATGAGGCCGTACCTGGAATGAGGCCGTACCTGAAATGAGGCCGTACCTGGAATGAGGCCGTACCTGGAATGAGGCCATAC